GCCCACTTCGGGCAGACCCCATTGTCGAAAAGCTGCGAACTCAGCTTGGAGTCATCCATCTAATACCAACCCCACCTATAAACCCTAAAATATTGGGCCTTTTCGTCGTTTTCTTCTTCGTAGGTGTAATTTGGGATAAAATCTGGACCCCGAAAAAGAAGGATGCAATCACTATCAGCAGGACGAAGGCAAGGAGTTGGATGCAGGTTCCCAATACAATGTCCATGCTTCTTGAGAAGGATTTGCAGAGGAAGGAATCGGTTGAGTGGGTGAACATGGTTTTGGGGAAGCTTTGGAAGGTTTACAGAGGCGGGATCGAGAATTGGATCATTGGTTTGATGCAACCGGTTATTGATAATCTGAAAAAGCCCGATTACGTCGAGAGAGTTGAAATCAAACAGTTCTCTTTGGGTGATGACCCGTTGTCCATTAGAAGCATCGAACGGAGAACTTCTCGTCGCAATAATGACTTGCAGTGAGCATTTCTTTTCACTCTTTCGAATAAAGATTAAGTGGCATCGTGTGATTTTCTTGGTATTTAATTAGCATAAAATCTTGCTAAACACTTAGCTCGATAAATGATACAGAATAATAATCCGTTGCATTAGGTTCTCAGTTTATGTAAATTATGCGTATATGTTTGTCGAGTTGTATTTTATGTAAATAATAATTTTTTTTTTCTGCATTTCTTAGATACCAAATAGGCATTCGATACACCGGTGGTGCACGTATGCTTCTACTTTTGACACTTAAGTTCGGCATATTTCCGATTTCTCTGCCAGTGGGTGTACGAGATTTTGATATTGATGGTGAACTTTGGGTCAAATTGAGACTGATACCGACAGATCCATGGATAGGTTCTGTTTCATGGGCTTTTGTTACACCTCCGAAGATTATGTTCCTGTTGTCGCCATTGCGGTTGTACACTCTGGTGGGTATGTACGTTTTTCACTTTTTTTTTTGCATTCAATTTATCTAAAAAAAAATTTCTGAGAAATTTGTTACAAAAGTCACGTTATACCGTAATAGATTCAATTTCTTACCTAAAAAACTTTTTTTAAAATCGAAGATATAATTTAATTTAATTTTTATTTTTAAATGAGAGAAGATGCTGTATTGGTCCTTGGTTGCCACGAAAGCATGAAACTTGTTAAATTAACTTCTCGAGTTATGAAATGCGACGGGTGTGTCGAGGAAAAGAATGTGGTGGGCTTTGATTCTTGTTTTAGAATGTTCGAATATAATTTATGTAACCATGCAATTATTTGAATTGATATATTTGGAGAACCGTACTAATTTTTCCGTTTTATGTTGTCCCTTTCTTGTGGTCGTCTGCAAATATGTTCAGCAATACCTGTTCTCTCAATGTAAGTGGTATTTCTAAACCGATAGTTGAATATTATATTTAAATTTTGATTTTGAAAGAAAAAAGTTAGTGATAAACGAGAATGAAGTCTAAGCAATATTTTACTTTGCTTTCCAGGTTCTTACAGAAGCTTCTGACCGAGGATTTACCTAGGCTCTTTGTGCGTCCGAAAAAGATTGTTCTAGACTTTCAGCAGAAGGGAAAAGCTGGTGGACCCGTTACAAACGATCCCAAATCCGGAGATATTCAAGAGGGAAATTATGAATTTGCTGGAGAATTATCGGTCACACTTTTAGACGCGCAAAAACTCACCTATATATTTTACGGTATCAAATGTTTGCTTCTTTTGGTCCACGTAAATATCTCCTCAAATTAATATTACGTCGTAATTTCTGCTCTTCAAATTTCAGGCAAAACAGATCCATACGTTGTTTTAAAATTGGGAAATCAAGTAATACGTAGTAAACGGAACAGTCAAACTACTGTCATCGGTCCACCTGGTCAACCAATATGGAATCAAGTTAGTTCTTCAACCGCTTTGCAGTTATCTTATGTGTAATTAATATACGTGATATTTATTTATTCTTTTATATCCCGCAGGATTTTTTCATGTTAGTTTCTAATCCGATGAAAGAAAAGTTACGAATTGAAGTAAAGGACTCACTCGGGTTCACGGACTTGACAGTAGGTACTGCAGAGGTAAGGTATCTTTAACGTTGTCCGAAAAATTACACTTTCTATTTTTCGTTTCTTTATTTATTTTCTAATTTAAAAAAAATACTATATTTATAGGTTGATCTTGGATCTTTAAAAGATACCGTCCCGGAAGAAAGGGCGGTCGTGCTCCAAGGGGGGTGGAGCCCGTTTGGCAAAGGATCTGTCGGAGAAATATTACTACGATTGACTTACAAAGCATACGTTGAGGATGAAGAAGATGAAAAAAGGATAGCGAAAAAAGTGTCCGATGATATTAAAAAATCCGAAAATAAATCGGCCGATTCTGACGAATCACGTTCTACAATATCCGAGGAGCGTGCAAAAGATAACTTGATCGATGCGAATAAGGAATCTTTTGTGGATCTTCTAGCGGCTCTATTAGTGAGTGAGGAATTTAAAGAGATAGTGGCATCTGAAACATCGAATAAGAAGTCTGTTGATCCTGGTATTGATTCGTCGGAATTGAATGGGCAAAAAACTCCTCCCGAGGTTGATTCTGATCGTACTGGAGGTATTTTTTTTATTTTATTATATTTGTTTTGTTGAATGCTGTTTAGTTTTAAAGTATTTTCGTGTTTTATCCAATTTATTAATGAGGGGATCTAATTTTGCAGGATCGGTGTTGCTTTGGCTTGCCTTGTTTACGAGTATATCTGTTCTAATAGCTCTTAATACGGGTGGCTCGAGTTTATTCAATCCTTGAAACATCTTGAGTGCTTCTCTTGTTTTTTAGGAGGCTATAACGTAAGCTAAACTCGACATCTTCTCATTGTAACTATGTAAGGTAAGTTTGTCATAATTTTCATTTACCTCTTTCTTTTTTTTTTCTTTTTTGGTTTTTTTCCTGCAAAACTTTAAATAAAGGGTGAACTACGGACAGCCCGACTAAATAACTTACAAACGTGGTATTGTTACACAAATACCCTCCTGAGTTATTTCTCCGTCTTACAATTACACATTGACGGAGTTATGAGTAACGGAATCGTGAAGATTCCATGGAATATTGGTGATGAATTTCCAAATCTACCCCCATGCGAGTAAATGTAATATCCCACAAGAAGGTAAATGTAATATTTTGTCTTATCTCAAGGCTACCCATAATTTACCCATAGTTTGTTTGTTTAATAAAAGGGTGATTTAGACAAATTATTCATTCTGTTAGGGTTTATAACGGGCTGTTAGTTTTAGGGGTATTTGTAATTACCAATACCACAGAGGTTTATAAGTTATTTAGTCTTACCTCAGGAGGTATCCGTAATTCACCCTTAAAAGAAATAAAATGATCCTGAGTGGAATTTACTCAAAATATTAATCATCTAATCATCTTGCACTTTTTGTTGTGTTACAGGCTAGCGGAGATTGGATGGTGCCCGATGAATTCGTTTTTCAATACACGTGAGCTCCTGAAATAAGTGTTTTTTTGTGTTTTATTATTTTGGCTGGATGAGTTGTTATTTTTGTAGAGAAATCGGTTATTTTTTTTGGAGGGGAAATTACATGTATATAAGCAACCACACGTAGATTCTTACAGTTTCGGTTTTCTTGAACAAGTGCCTGCTGATAACAGTGGAGGCATTTGTAACGTTAATATTACTTTAAACAAATAAAAATCCGAGCTGGAAGTAGTAGTTAGGACATCATTAACAAAGTTGGCAGCATTTTGAAATTGTTGGATTTTTTGGCTATGAAATATTGTGTATTTAATACCAACACCTTTATGCAATTATTTTGCCATTTCTAAGGTTTTTTTTTCTTTCTAAAAGAGAGTTATTACAATCAGGCTATGTGTTGGCTCAAATTCACATACTATCTAAACAAGAGTTACTAGTAAGTAGGGTTGGCAATCATGCTATGTGTTGGCTCAAGCTCACATACTACTGGACCTCGTAACTAAGCTCACATAATATCGGACCTCATTAGTATAAGCTTGCTTGGCTCATGCACTTTTTCGGATTTCGGATACCAGGCCTCATTTACTAAAACTCGACTCGGCTCACAAAAAATAGGCTCGGTGAAAATATAATCGGGCCGAGCCATCAGGCTTCGGTTAGGTCCGTCTTAATTGCCGGTCCTATTAGTAAGTGACGTGTTCATTTGCACCACGAATTCAAAATTCCAAACACCACATACACCACATATCTGAGGTGAGATATTCAAATTCAAAATCAATACACATGCTTTGGACTGTAGATTTGAAACACCGCTAAATTTTAAACGAGAACCGAGAAACCAATTAGTAGCAGATAATACGTGTGCAGGCATCTCAACTAAGACAATCATTTTAACTATAATATTCATTTCTTCACGTTCAAGAGACGCAAGAAAAACGATTCAATTGAAAAGTTCTCACGTAACCAAAAAACGCCGAGAAAAAAAACCATTCAAAGACAATATTTCAACATTTTGCACTACGAAAAAGGTATAAACATTGTCCAACTATATAACAATAGCAAAAACAATCCAAACCAAGAAACCATAAAAGAAAAAAAAACGACATCAACAAAGTAAACCCATGAAAAGCTGAAAATTTTTACACGTTGCAAACTCAAACCCACATAACCAACACATTCCCCTAACACAGATCATCTTCTTCGTCTCCAAACTTATACACGCTGAAATGGTTGACTCTGAACTTCCATTCACCTTTGACCGGATCATAAGAAACAAACTCCGCCCCTTGATCTTCAGCTTTCCTCTTAAGCATCTCTTTGTACTTTTCAATTCTTGGCCCCTCAGTGTACTGTTGACCAGTCTTCTTATCGAAACATTTTATATTAAGAAGCGTCACCTCAGCGGGTTTGTTAAGACCTTGCCCAACGGGTGGTTTCTTGCTCTCGTCCATATAAACTATCACCTCTCGATTATTGAACTGTACGAGTGATTCGAGATCCAGCCTTCGTACATCTGTCTCACCAAAGAACTTGATGCTGCCATAGCCTTGTCTGCCGACCACAAAGTCCTTCACGTGGCGGCAGAAGCCAGACTCGCCTCTCTCCTTTGCCGCCAGCTCCTGAATTCGTGGCTCTGTGAAGTAATCGGAGTGGCGGAGCTTTGGCATCTGTGCCTCAATGTCTGCTCCGTGCTCGTAGACGATTGCTGCTTCGCCTGCTCGATGGCCTGTGAGTGTGATGTACGAGTCTCCCTTTTCCGCTGTGGAGAAACCGTTTGTTTTTTGGTTCCCTTTTGTATGAGATGCTTCTTGTTCCTTAGTGTGGCCGTTTGCCACTGGGTGATCTTCAGTGGGGACAGCTGAGTCACAAAACAGACAACATATGTTCAATATTACACTTTGCATGAAGGAGAAACGGTTACAAACAACAGCATAAAATATCAGTTTTTTTTCCTTTTTGGATTAGTATGGAAAAGGATGACCATTTTTCAACTGATGATATGATTGAACCGGTCCTACAATGTCCCGTTATCAGCACCACTACTCATTCAGATACCAACCAACACCACTACAAAATGTTTTCTAATATTAATATATATATATTTTTTTATATTTTATGGAGAATAAAATAATACATAACGAATTTAAGTTAATAATTTGATTTTTTTGACCCCTCAGCCCCCTAGACAAAAGATCATTTGACTCGCCATTTATCAAAACAATCGTAAAACATACGAACTATTAAACCATTTATCAAAATTTTATGTAAGAAATCATTGCAGGATGCGAACGGCACTTCATATAAATGAACCACTCACCATCTTTGTCCTTGGTCATGTGCCCATTTGTAGAGTTAAAATCATCTCGACGCACTTTACCTGTGATCAGAAATGAAATAATCATAAGGATATGTAGAATGTAGTAAGTGAAGGACCGCCACACAAAACCTAGAGCCAGCATTTCAGTTGATCTACAAACATGCAGAACCAGCACCAAAATACACTCGGAGAAAATGTGTACACATGGAGGAAATTGAAATAGCTAGGGAACAATCATCCCAAGAAAATCCAATATAGTCATTACGTGTTTAATCTATTGTGGGTCTGTGTTCAAAAAACAATCTATTGTATGTGACTAGAACTCCATTACTTCAACACTATTCTCAAGATGGGCAAAGATATTCGTGCATCATCCCTCCACTTAGTTGGACAATACAAGAAAAGCTCTTCACACTTATTCAATGTTGCTTCAAATAAACACATAAATCATAATCACATCATTCCCATCCGAAAGGAAGGCATATAACTTTCAACATCTGCGCTCGCTTTTAGAAGAAAATATAAAATAATTAGCTAACAGGTGGCAAGTGGTACAGAGTTCTGCTGTATAGATTATAGATACTTGCAATGCAAATTTTCGTAAGAAACTGCCAGTGCTATCAGCACAAAAAAAACTATTTACAATCCATTACAACCAGGAAGCATTGTATCCAGCAATAAGATGAAGAAATATATTAGTTACCATTTTCATGCTTAGGAGCATCGGTGGCCTTCGTTTTCTCTGCACTGGATCTAGAATGCCACTGTTCCAATGGGCGAATTACTAGAGCTCTTGGATTCTCTCTGGGAACAAAAAGAGCATCCGCTTTTGGCGTGCTAGGTGTTTCTTCATCATCATTAAAAAATGGCACCTGATTGAAAAAAAATTAAGTGAAGAAAAGGATTAACATCCTTACACGCTATTCCGATGAGAACATCTTTGACAGTATATAGATTATAATATAAGGATTAATCATTACCTTTGGACCATCAGTTTTAGGGTGGTATTGTCTAACAGGTAGCCTAATACGCCTTTGAGAAAGGTGTCTTGACGTCAAAAGAGATGATATCCTCACAGGAGCTAGTTTTTCAACTACCTGCTTGAAAATGTCAGTCATCAAACACATTCTTTATGAATGAACTACTTTGACTGATAGACAATGTCTTTGTGAAAGAACCATAGGTCAAAGAAATCATGCAAGATTTCCTTGTTTAGTCAAAATATAAGAATACTTACTGGCAAGCTCGAAATTCCATACTGAATTGAAGGAGAATTGCCTGTGCGACCAATTGACATCTGGGGCATTGCTGGCAAAGTTCCAAAAGGGTTTGTTATTGGGGCTTGCTGTGGAATCACAGCGTTCTGAGTACTTGGCCTGTCCAATCAAGCAACAATTTCAAGCTCAAGAAAAAGGAAATGAGAAATAAATGCATGCATGAACATTGAGTGGTTAGGCTCGACTCTACATTTCCAGTTATACATGTAGATAAATGTTGGATGAGAAACAGAACATAGCTCAGAAGTCAACGGCAGCTGCTCAAAGCAAAACACCCTTGAGCCAAACCACCTCAGTTATCAATATTGAAGTGAAGGACGAAAATAGGAGCACATCATAATTTAGGGGAGCATAATATGTATATGAAAGAGTTCAATTGACACGAAACAACAAAATAACAAAATAAGTAAGACTGGAAAAATAAAGTAACCAGAACTTGACATACGGTTGTCCAAATGTATTATTGCTAAACATGCCAGGGGTGCCGCCAGGGGTGCCGCCAAAGCCACTTGTAGCAGCTGCAAACATACACATGTTAATCAAAACAATAACCGACTGATTTCCACAGATAAGGGAATAACAAATTGGCATTGTTAGGGGTAATAAAAAAAAGGCTTAATGCTGCTTAACCTGCTTGCGTCTGACCAAAATTGCTGAAGAAGCCACCAGAACCTTGAGCCGGTTGTGCAGATTGAAATGGTGTGGTAGAGGGCTTCAAAAAAAAGTAGATAGTAATTAATTATGAGGTAAAAGCAACGGAAACAAGAGAGAACAAATTGCCAAAATCAGGCCAACTATCATTTTACAGAAAAATGCATCAAGAACCAATGATAACTGGTTAAATTAGTTTATATGTACTTGTCTAATTAGCCACTTTAAATCATGCTTCCACACTTACAGTATCTAAATGCATGAAAGCCAACAGCATATGATAGAAACTCCAGCTCAATTATTAATTCCCAGATCCTCACAGCTTGCTTACTTATAAATATTGCAATAGCTTTCGCAAATAAACATTCAGGTCCTCATCACATATCCATTTAACAGAACTATGGAGCAATCACATTTCCTTACCAACCGACAGGGTATGTCTATATGTTTTTATGAATAATCAGGCATGCACAAAAAGATGCCAGCTTCAAATTCTTCCCTAACCTATGCACAATCCCATGGCTCAAGTTCAGTACAGTTATCTTTAGTATCCCAATTAGACTCAATATCCTGAAGTATTTATTGAATAAGTGAACCTAACCTAAGTTGTGAAGCCTTGTCTAGGTTTGTTTAAGTGCATTATGAAAATGACAAGCACGGATAAGAAGAGAAATTCAGTTCACGAGTAACTCACAGTTGTTTGACCAAACCCCAAAGTGTTATTGTTATTTGGCATTGACGGAGTGCTGGAGAACATATTTCCACTGAAGCCAGTTGATGGTGTAGTAAATAAATTCGCCTGACCAAACGCTGGTGCAGTTTGTCCGAAACCAGAGGGCGTTTGTCCAAAAGTAGAAGTAGTCTGCCCAAGTGTAGGTGTAGTTGATTGGAATAATGGGGAGGACTGAGTGTTGCCAAAACCCAAGCCACCACTAAATGCAGATGCAGTCCCCTGACCTGATGTGGTGCCAAAAACAGAAGGTGACCCAAAAGGAGCTGTGCTGGAAGAGCTAAAAAGAGACGGGGAAGTATTCGCTCCAAATGTTTGAGTAGTGGATCCAAATATTGAGGATGGTGCTGACGATGTCGAACCAAATAGGTTAGATGTAGTTGATGTCCCAAAAGGTGAAGACCCAAATGTCGAAGTGGGTGTAGGTCCAAACCCTGTGCTATTAAACACTGGGGTTTTGGGAGCAAATGGATTGGAAGATGTTGAAGATGACAAAAGATTTGCAGATGACTGTCCAAATGCAGGAGTAGATGACGATGCGAAGCCTGAAGTATTAAAGCCAGCAGCAGCAGTTGCCTGACCGGCAGGAGCTGGCCCACCTGTGTTTGGTACAGAAAAGGAGTTAGCAACATATTATGTAGAATATTCTTTACGAGTTCAAGATGTCTATAAATTTGAACCAGCAGATCACCTTTATCCCCTAGCTGGTAGTCCTCCCATCTAAGTTCTTCGTGGCTTTTATCTTTGTAGACCGACATGGCTGAAATAGATTCTAATTTTCCAGCTGGCTGTGTCCCATTGGCACCATCAGTCTCAGGTGTTGCTGAGTACGGAGATACTCTGCTTCCCCCTCGTTGCGCTCCAAATGTAGACTGGCCCAAACCCTGATTACCAAAAGCTGGGGTCGTAGTCTGCCCTCCTGCAAATGAATTATGTCAATACTGGGCACAGAAAGCAGTTATAGAGGATATACAATTTCTGAAACTGTACTTAGAGGCTTTCCAGAAAACTTTCTTATCAAAATGATTGGTACATCTCTGTGAAAGAGAGCATAGAAACTAGGCTCAAAATATATTTAATGAACATCAAGTACTCGGTCCTGATTGTTTCAGTGTCCTAGCTGAAATGCAAGGTTCAAACACAGCTAGAACAGACTTACTCCAGAACCTCATCAAAGACAAGAAAACCTTACCAAAAGAAGCACTTTGACCTCCAAAGGGTGATGTTGCACCAAACTGGCTGCTTCCAAACGCAGAACTTGATTGACCAAATGCTGGACTGGATCCAAAGTTTAAAGCAGGAGTGGTTGAAGCACCAAATGGAGTAGCAGCTGTGGCACCAAATGGAGAAGCAGTTGTGGCACCGAATGGAGTAGCGCTTTGGGTAACACCGAATGCGGGTGTGCCGCTTGTGGTACCAAATGCAGGTGTCGTAGAAGCGCCAAATGCTGGAGTTGAAGACCCAAAAGGAGAAGTAGACGCACCGAAGCCACCACTCGTGCTACCAAAAGTAGGGCTTGCTGTAGAACCAAAGGGAGCGCTACTAGTCCCACCAAAAGCTGATGTACTTGGTGCCCCAAATGCAGTAGTGCTTGATGAACCAAATGCAGATTGACTTGGAGCACCAAAAGGGGTCGTTGAACCAAAAAGATTGCTCCCAAAGGCTGGTTGTGATTGTTGCGTCGAACTTCCAAAAGGACTTGATTGAGTATTAGTAGATCCAAAACCACCAAAATTAGGCTTCTGCCCAAACACAGATGAACCTATATCCAACAAAATTAATGAAGTCAAGAAAACCATGAAAACTGTATGATCAAAATAATTAATTCAGCAAAACAGTTATGAGGTCAAGCGGGGAGAAATAAGAGAATAGTCGAGCAATAATGACAAAAAAGATGTTTCGAAAATAAATCAACAAATAACGGCGAAAAAGCTCCACTACCCACTTCACAGACCATTACGGCAATTTTTTTACACTAAAAACGCTTTTTTAGATCGCTGGTTGTCGGTTCCTTAATACCTTACATGATTGAACAACCAAGCAAATTCATAGTTGATAAGTAATATTTCTTCAAAGTGTTATATGGAAATATTCTAAAA